GTAATCGAGTACTTAACATTTAGAAAGGATATATTATGATGGGCATTAAAAAGGTAAATATTAAAATTATATTTTATTTTATTTTATTAAATCATGTAGAACTTGACAAAAATATCTGATACAACATACATACCTTAAAATAATTTTCCTATATTTTTTACTAATTTCAATTAGCATCAATAAAAAAATTTTTWAAATCACAAATTACCACTAGACGATTAAAAATTAAAAATTGTTTTTATATTTTTTTACAGGTTTTTTACTTTATTATTTTAATTTTATCAATCACAAACAGTTTTGGGGAAAATGATTACACACCAACCCAAAGCATTGAAGATACAGCTGATGATGAGCCGATTTATAGCAATCATAAATACTTTGATGAAGATTCAATGGGTTCTATACAGAAATGTAATTAATCTATAATTACAATAATATTATRATTACTTAATTATTAAGATGTTGACTGCATTCCAACACCAATTCGCTTAATAAGTATCGTTCAGCAATAAAGTCAAAGCCACTTGGTACCAAATAAACATTTTAAATACATTTWTTATTATTTTGTACATGCTGCTGAGTTATTTGATCATTTTATTAAATACATAGTTGAATAGTTAACTTGAAACTCAAGCGACTGGTCAAAAAGTCTGAGTTATGTATAATACAATAATAGGAAATTATATGAACCATAATTAGTTTGAGGTATTAACGATTTTAATTAAATCAAGTTTGACTGWATTTATACACTGTTCATAAATATAACCATATATTATATAGGTACTATAATACATATAAAATATACCATATACTATTTATCGAAAAGATGAACATGAATATTCATTATGCTTAAAACAAGTATTTTACTTAGTAYTTAATTTATTCTAGATTTAAAGGAAAATATTCTTTATTTTATTTATTTGATAATTTAAAAGTATTATTACTGTTATTAGGTACAATCTACACAATTTTTATAAGATTTTAAAAATAATCTTTGACAATGTAATGAGTGAAATTATAGATTTACATATATTAAAAATAATATAGGTGGTTTTATAGTGATAAATATGCATAAAGTAAAAATTAGAAATGTATCGCAAGGATCTGTTCTGTTTGGTTTTAAATTTTTAGTACAAAATATATAAGACTGTGAAAGGTAGTATTTTTTTTTTTAATACGGCRTACCTAGTAGAACTGAGTAGTTTATAGCACCACTCAATATAAACAATGTACCCACCAACTTATACATGTATAAAATGTGAAACTAAAATACAATTAAATTAGATTTTTTACCTATATTAGTGATTTCTTACTCAAGCAAACTCAATAATTTTATATTTCATTACCCTATACTTATTGAGAATTATTTGAATAGATTCTACTAACATATTTTTAAAGAAGAATAATAATGATGTTAGTGATAACATAGTGAATTTTTTTTATTGTTCTATTAGACGAACCAGGAAGAGTTCAAATCAAAGTCTATAGGGGGCCAGACATAAATGAAAACGATGAATCATATGCAGCGCATGGATTTTGGGTTAAACAACCATCAGAAGATTATTAGTGAAGACTATTGTATTTTTAATGTGGATAGTATTWATTATAATATTATTTTTTATATTTGTATTGATAAATGTACCTACACAATTGGTGAAACTTGTCAAAGTAAAGAGCTTGTGATCCAATTACTACACCTAAGCAAAATGTTTATTACACCAASAATAGCATTAAGCAATACACATAGCAATTAGTGTTTATTTTAGTTAATGTATTTATAGGCTATATTACATTTATTTAGTATATACTCACAATAAACTCGTAACTGGGAGTTTATACAATGGCTGTGTTATTATATTGGACTGAGTAACTAATATATTTAAAACTTGACTGTACATTTTCGTAAAATGGAAGCAAAAGTATGATACGCATGTCGTCGAGTTTTGGTCTTCATTCTGCTTGTTTCCATTCTCGATCAACAACGAGATGATTAGTCTCACAACATATTACTACTCCGCATGCTTAGCAAGGTTCAGTGTCTAGTATCTACTGAAATCAGACACCAGACATTCAGTTTCAACCAGCCTGAATCGGAATTCTAAAGACAACAAAATATTACTGCAACTCGTAATTATACATAATAATAAATAATAATACATTTTATCATAACAAAAACAAGAGATTGCGCCCGCGCGAAAATCCCTCTGGAACAATAAACACTCTATTGTCGATAATTTTATAATTTTTATTTAATAATAAGTATTAGGTATTAATTATTGTTTATTTATACCTGTAGTTATATTATAAGAATTTTACATATAAATATAATACATTTTGTTATATCTTTTAACTTTATTTATGTCATAAAAAAAAAAAAACATATTTATATTTTTATGGGCATGTTATTATCTTTTTAGTTCATGATATCCACAGAATATATATAGAATAAATTCTATATATTCCATATATCCGTGATGATAATATCTGTTCTGTTCTGTGATGAATGATAAATGATAATACTAAAAAGATAAGGGTGTCAGACTTCAAAATTTCAAATGCCAATACGTCATTCTCATTAATCAATAGTCATTAGTATTTAGTAATAAGTAATAGTAATGTCATTAGTTCATTACGTCAAGCAACTACAGAAGTACAGTCTATAGAGCACTGTACTACAATTAGTACAAATTCTGAGTGTTTTAGAGTACTAGAGGAATGACAAAAATAAAATAAATAGAATCATTCAAATTTAATGTTTTCTGTGCATGGATTGTTGAGAGCAAAAATCATTAATAAAGTACTAAGTAATACGTTTCCAAACTTTAAACTTTGTGTTTAMTTTTATATTTTATGAGTTATTTAATTCATAATCTTAGCCCGTGAAAATATAGCAGCATAAAAATAATCTACTTGCATTAGTTTATGCACTCACCAATAAATATTACTCGAATAACTTTATTTATGATAAATCATGGCGTTGTGCGTAGCCGTAGTTAGCAAAGAGGTAAGCAAATGARAAAAGATACTTTACAGATGTTGTGTTTTTTGAAATTACTTAGTTGATTTCATTGTTCATGGTACCTAAGTTTATGTTTTATTGATCATATATCTATCTTAATCTATTACAAAATATCTTGGATAGGTTACAAAATATTTAGAATATAGAACTGGTATCGATAAATATAATTTATAATTATTTAAATATAATCATAGCATAATTAGTGAGACGTCAATATAAATTATGTTTTTAAAATATAATCATAGCATAATTAATGAGACGTCAATATAAATTATGTTTATTTCAGAATGCGCCAAAATATGTAACTTCATTAAACCCTGAAGACGAACTACAAATTCAATATGAAATACATTCTTCAATTGACTTTGTGGAAGAAAAATTGAAAACTGGTAAAAAAGATATGCGTGATCTGTATTTAGGACTTTTGTACTCTACGGAAGATCATAAAATGTATCCTTTAATTTTTCAGACCTTTTGTCAAAAGAAACATAGGCATTAATGTAGTTTAGTTTCCATGTTAATTTTTAAATTTGTTTCTAAATTTAAACCACTCAATATAAAAATGGA